TTTTTTTTTTAACTAATAAATAGTTTTCTGAAATAAATCTGCGGTGTCAAAGCCAGTGGGGTCCATACAATCTTACTATAGTTCAGGGGCTTGAGAATAATGTTCGGTTACGAGCCTTGTGTTGGTGGGGGGGGGGGCGCACTCATTGGGATTAATCTAAAGTGCGCTCGCTACTTGTATCCATGTTTTGTCAAATTTTCAGCCCCTACCCCCAATTTCTCTATATCAGATTTATAAAGGATTTATCCCAAAAACTTTGTGTTTAGGGGTTGTTTAATTAGAGCTTAGAGTGTAGACTCATGTACGACTGTCTGATATCTGACCGTCTGATGTCTGATGGTCCCGTCTTTTGCCTGTCTAACTCTCGCAGACGCACCTGACAGAATTTCTACACGCATTTCCTTTTCTTTTAGTGAGACAACTGCAACCAAAAGAATTACAATGAATCGAAATGAAAACATGCAGAGGATGTACGGGTTTTTCCGATGTAGCCAATGCGACAAGCTGTGGGAAAGTTCTCATGTTTACTGTGAACCTGGAACTGATGAGGTAAGGGGAATCCCCACACAGATTTAGTGTCATTATTATTATTACAAGAAAATGTCACCCGATGTTATCGAGATAATAATGGCGGGCACTTTGCGATAATTTCCACCTCCTGTTGCGAAAACTCATCACAATTCCGTTATTTAAAAAAGAAGTATCTATAAAATGATGTTTACGTTTCTAACATCATTAAAAGTTTTAATTAGTATTTTTCTGCCATATTATATGCACACGCCTAACCATGGGCGCCCGCAGGTAGGGGCAAGGGGGCAGTTGCCCCCCCCCCCCTGGATTGATTGGATAAAAAATTTTAGACAAAAATATCCAAAAAATCCAGGGGGGGGGAATCGGAAGAGCAAGGGAGGGGCAAGGGGGCAGTTGCCCCCCCCCCCCTGGATTGATTGGATAAAAAATTTTAGACAAAAATATCCAATCAATCCAGGGGGGGGGGAGCAAGTGCCCCCCTTGCCCCTACCTGCGGGCGCCCATGGTCCCAGATGATCGCACAATATTTCAGCAGTGAACGGACGAGTGCGAGATAAGCATTTCGTTTGCAGGAAGTTGGGCAGTGGAGCAGATTTCTTCGGATGAAACCTAGGGTGGAGTTGGCTTTTTTTTTTTTTTTATTTTGTTTAGATGAGGTGACCATTTTAGGTTATTGGAGAAGAGAATTCCAAGGTATGGACTATTGGATACTTGTTGGAGGATTTTCTCCTTTCGCAAAGTAATAACAAAATTGTATTTTATTTGTTTTTATCAAAGAAAATCTTAACCCATCTTCATTTTTCAAAATTAAATTTTCCCCCTGTGTAAAATGATTGGGTTTTGATATTCATGGGTTGATTTGATATTCATGGGTTGATTTGATATTCATGGGTTGATTTGATATTCATGGGTTGATTTCATATTCATGGGTTGATTTCATATTCATGGGTTGATTTGATATTCATGGGTTGATTTCATATACATGGGTTGATTTCATATTCATGGGTTGATTTGATATGCATGGGTTGATTTGATATGCATGGGTTGATTTGATATTCATGGGTTGATTTGATATTCATTGGTTGATTTGATATTCATGGGTTGATTTGATATTCATGGGTTGATTTGATATGCATGGGTTGATTTGATATTCATGGGTTGATTTGATATGCATGGGTTGATTTGATATTCATGGGTTGACTTACGTTAATGTACCCACGTTTTTTTTAACGCCATTGATGTTTCTTAAGTGGTAAACATATGTTAATTAGTAAAAAGAGAATGTAACATCTCTTTTTCACAACTGTGATATCAACTGATTTAAAGATATTGCCATCCACGTAAAAATGTACACATCCTATTTCATAACTTCGACATGTATGTACCTAAGAAGGTTAATTATTTATCAAATTCATTCATTTATTCTGAATCGTATCTTGTGCTGCATTGGGAAAATGAAAGTATTGACCCCCCCCCCTCCCCCAGATTTTAATAAAAATTAATATAATCATCCACGGGATTGTGGCACCCTACGTAAGCAGACACACAATTTTGCACTTCATATTGTTTGTTCTTTTTCGGATGAGTGATAAGTGCATTAGTGCATTGGCTATGGAGTTTCGCTGCACTGATTGACTTAAACGGCATTTTAAAAAAAAATTAAAAGTATATTTAGAGCTTAAGTTTTTATTACCTTATAAATTTAATTAAAATGTATTTTTTGAATGAACAAAATGTAAAAAGCTTATTAAATGTTAACACTAAAAAGCTAAAACTTTTTATGTTTTGTTAAAAATTTAAAAATCAATCAATTATATTTATTAGTTTTAATTTTAAAAAGGAGAAAATACATTTTCAGTTTTGTCACGCGCGGTTATTAAATCAAAGAAACTTAGAGCTTTGGCTAAAATAGGGAACTCGCGCTGTGACGTCATTTGCGTCAAATTTCTTTTTGTACGCACTATGCTATATAGTAAAACAAAATAGCGCGTTCAAAAAAGAAATTTGAAGCAAAATTTTAACGTGTGAACTGAAAAATAGATCGACCAAGTTTCCGTTCTATCAAATTATCGTCGATCAATTTATCGTCGACGAAATTTCTTTCGATCAAATTTCCGGATACGCCTTGGGTTTTATAAATAGTGCGTTCAATAAGAAATTTGACGAATGTTCAAAGCAAATTTGAAGAAAATTTGATCATTTGAACTGAGCACTATTCAAAGACTGGGTCCGTGGCCTCCATCCACGAAACAAAACAAATAAAGAGTTGCTGTTTTTGGTGGACATTTGAAATTTTAAAAAAACCCTTAAAAATTGGTCTTCTTTGTCTGCCAAGTGATAGATACACATTGTTTTGTTCTTCCATCGTCAGCCACGTTACGGCCAGGAGTGCAAGGATTGCCGGGTGGTGTGCATGCCCTACCGTGTGGAGAGAATTGTCTGCTCTGGGTGTGGACACGAAGAATGCACATGTGATGAAGACGAGAGATTGGCGCGCCACATCAACCCGAACAGAGCGCACCGCATCGATCTGTGCGGCAAGTGCCGATCCGGAAACTACTGCACGAAGGCTTAACTCATGTTGGAAATGGAAAGTTGGGTTTAAAATTGCCGGCCCTTATTTTTAAAAAAATGGGAGAAGTTTTGTTAAATTTATTCATACTTAAATAATGTTTGAAAATCTAATTTTTTGTAAAAAAAAAAAATTCTCACATGTTGAAAAATATCATCTCAAATGTATTTAAATTGCGATCGGCATGACTAGACAATATCAATAATGTTTTTGTTAAAACAAATATGAGCTGTATTGAAAATAGAACATGAGCCTAGATAGCTACACAAACTAAGTCTATTTAGTAAATTATGAGCCTAGACTAGATAATTACAAAAAACTAAGTCTATTTAGTAAATGATGAGCCTAGACTAGATAATTACAAAAAACTAAGTCGATTTAGTAAATGATGAGCCTAGACTAGATAATTACAAAAAACTAAGTCTATTTAGTAAATGATGAGCCTAGACTAGATAATTACAAAAAACTAAGTCTATTTAGTAAATTATGAGCCTAGACTAGATAATTACAAAAAACTAAGTCTATTTAGTAAATGATGAGCCTAGACTAGATAATTACAAAAAACTAAGTCTATTTAGTAAATGATGAGCCTAGACTAGATAATTACAAAAAACTAAGTCTATTTAGTAAATTATGAGCCTAGACTAGATAATTACAAAAAACTAAGTCTATTTAGTAAATGATGAGCCTAGACTAGATAATTACAAAAAACTAAGTATATTTAGTAAATGATGAGCCTAGGCTAGATAATTACAAAAAACTAAGTCTATTTAGTAAATGATGAGCCTAGACTAGATAATTACAAAAAAACTAAGTCTATTTAGTAACCACAAAGCATGATTAGTTGTTTTAGTTCTTGTGCAACAACACAATAATATTTAGTGGTTTCTCTAATTGTCGAAATGAAGGAATGAAAAAAAAAAAAAGGCAAATTTGGCAGTAATCGATTGAGTTGGTTTCATAACATATACCTCAGTGGAGCAGGATGCCACCAGGGCAGGGTGCCACCAGGTCAGGGTGCCACAAGAGCAGGGTGCCACCAGGGCAGGGTGCCACAAGAGCAGGGTGCCACCAGAGCAGGGCGTTAATATGTGTGGTTGATGTCCAGGGCGTGAATGCATAAGGTTGATGTCCAAAGGTTGATGTCCAAAGGTTGATGTCCAAAGGTTGATGTACAAAGGGTGATGTCCAAAGGGTGATGTCCAAAGGTTGATGTCCAAAGGTTGATGTCCAAAGGTTGATGTCCAAAGGTTGATGTCCAAAGGTTGATGTCCAAAGAGTGATGTCCAAAGGGTGGTGTCCAAAGGGTGGTGTCCAAAGGTTGATGTCCAAAGGGTGGTGTCCAAACGGTGGTGTCCAAAGGTTGATGTCCAAAGGTTGATGCCCAAAGGGTGGTATCCAAAGGGTGATGTCCAAAGGTTGATGTCCAAAGGTTGATGTCCAAAGGTTGATGTCCAAAGGTTGATGTCCAAAGGTTGATGTCCAAAGGTTAATGTCCAAAGGTTGGTGTCCAAAGGGTGATGTCCAAAGGTTGGTGTCCAAAGGTTGATGTCCAAAGGGTGGTGTCCAAAGGGTGATGTCCAAAGGTTGGTGTCCAAAGGGTGATGTCCAAAGGTTGGTGTCCAAAGGGTGATGTCTAAAAGGTTGGTGTCCAAAGGGTGATGTCCAAAGGGTGATGTCCAAAGGGTGATGTCCAAAGGTTGGTTTCCAAAGGTTGATGTCCAAAGGGTGATGTCCAAAGGGTGATGTCCGAAGGGTGATGTCCAAAGGTTGGTGTCCAAAGGTTGGTGTCCAAAGGTTGATGTCCAAAGGTTGATGTCCAAAGGTTGGTGTCCAAAGGGTGCTGTCCAAAGGTTGGTGTCCAAAGGTTGATGTCCAAAGGGTGATGTCCAAAGGTTGATGTCCAAAGGGTGATGTCCAAAGGGTGATGTCCAAAGGGTGATGTCCAAAGTTTGATGTCCAAAGGTTGATGTCCAAAGGTTGATGTCCAAAGGTTGATGTCCAAAGGTTGATGTCCAAAGGTTGATGTCCAAAGGGTGATGTGATAACGTGGAAAAAATATTTAGTGTGATATAATGTAATTTCAAACACTTATTTATAATTATACAAACTTTTAGTCTTTCAGGAGTTTTATTACTCTGAACCTATGTGAAGATAGTCTTTAATGTATATATTGGGTATACACGTGAAGATAGTCTATATGGAATATATTGTGTATACATTTGAAGATAGTATTTAATGTATATATTATGTATACATGTGAAGATAGTCTATATGGAATATATTGTGTATACATTTGAAGATAGTCTTTAATGTATATATTGGGTATACATGTGAAGATAGTCTATACGGTAATATTGGGTATACATGTGAAGATAAAGTCTGTCATATATATATTGTATGTGCTAGATTTTAGATTCATGCAATAAGTTTATGTTGGCATGTAAAATGTGTTGTAATACAAGATTTCAGAGAGAAAAAAACACTGAAAGAATTGTATGTGTAATTATTCTGATACAATTATATCTATTTCAATATTTTGATAAGCGTAGTCACCTTTTATATTATTTACCTTACATAATTATAAAATTACCTTATATCATTACATAGGATTATCGGGTTATTTATTTTCATTTTTATAATCTTGGTCCGTTGAGTATCTACGAGACACCAATAAATAATCATTTTATCATTTATTTGTTTTCCATTTTGTCACTTTTTTACCAACGTTTACAAAATTATGATTCATTTAAAAGAATTACTTAATGTTTCGGGGTCACTGGGTCCCTGATGTGTCATGATCTTTGCATGGTTATGCCTTATGACGTGAATATCTGAGGCAAACACCAAAAAAAACTTAAGAGGGTAACCCGTAGAGGCTAAAATAATTCTGACCTCCATCAATTTCTTCCCCCGGAATCTCAATTGTTCATTTGACCGCTCAAAAATGAAAAAAAAAAAATCTGATAAAATCGTTAATTTTTGTAATTGGTTTTTAAGCAACAAATTTTCAACTCCAGTCACGACTTGACGCATGCGCAGATTCAGATTTCTCACTTGGTTTCTTTGATATGTTGTAACTGAGCCGTGCAATTACCATGATATTTCCTCTCAGTCTAAAAGCAAAGAGAAAAAGCCCACAATTATGGTTCATTAGTGGTGAAAATGTGAATGTAATCTAAAAGATAAGTGTGCCAAAAAAATACGTGTCACAGATATGCGTGTCAAATATATGTGTGTATAATGTGTCTGCGTCAAATTGATGTGTGTCAAATATGTGTGTGTCAAAGATACATGTGTGTCAAATATGTGTGTGTCAAAGATATGTGTGTGTCAAAGATACATGTGTGTCAAAGATACATGTGTGTCAAATATGTGTGTGTCAAACATATATGTGTGTCAAAGATATATGTGTGTCAAAGATATATGTGTGTCAAAGATACATGTGTGTCAATATGTGTGTGTCAAAGATATATATGTGTCAAAGATATATGTGTGTCAAAGATACATGTGTGTCAAATATGTGTGTGTCAAATATGTGTGTGTCAAAGATACATGTGTGTCAAAGATACATGTGTGTCAAAGATACATGTGTGTCAAAGATACATGTGTGTCAAAGATACATGTGTGTCAAAGATACATGTGTTCAAAGATACATGTGTGTCAAAGATACATGTGTGTCAAATATGTGTGTGTCAAAGATACATGTGTGTCAAAGATACATGTGTGTCAAATATGTGTGTGTCAAAGATACATGTGTGTCAAAGATACATGTGTGTCAAAGATACATGTGTGTCAAATATGTGTGTGTCAAAGATACATGTGTGTCAAAGATACATGTGTGTCAAATATGTGTGTGTCAAAGATACATGTGTGTCAAAGATACATGTGTGTCAAAGATACATGTGTGTCAAATATGTGTGTGTCAAAGATACATGTGTGTCAAAGATACATGTGTGTCAAATATGTGTGTGTCAAAGATACATGTGTGTCAAAGATACATGTGTGTCAAAGAT